TGTGTGTGTGTGTGTGTGTGTGTGTGTGTAGGGGGGACAGGGGGCGCTGACACTGTGACCTGTGACCTTCCATCCAGAGCGGAAGACCGGATGACATGGTGGGCCAGGGAGGCTCGTGGGACTCACCGATGGCTCTGAGCTCATACTCATCCGCCAGGGCCAGCATGTCCTCCGAGCAGTCCGTGTCCTCCTCCTCCTTGGACAGCTCCTTCAGCAGCTTGCTGCAGGCCAAGGCCGCCATGATGCAGTCCTGACTCTGGGGACCAGGGGCCACAGTCAGGACCCTGGCGCGACCTCCCCGACCCACCCGAGGCCTGGGCGGTACCAACTGCTGAGAAGGTTCTCTGTGTGGCTTTGGCTGTGGACACAACACAAGCGTGCCCAGGCCTGATGGTAGGTGGCCCCAACTTCCGGGCTGTCCAACAGGAGCGACTTACTCTCTCGGCTGTCCACCTGGAGCGGGCCCAGCAGGGCCCAGCAGGCTCCAGTCCCAGTGCTCGATGGACCTGGCCCACCTCAAGCGCGGGGGCAGGGGCAGAGTACCCCAAAGGGGAAAAGCAGAGACTGGGTACCACACACCCCAGGGTGGGCTCAGGATCCCTACCTCAATATCACCGCGGGTCCCAGCAAGTCCCAGGCACCAAAAGGCTCCCCAGAGCCCAGAGCCCTAAGGTGAGTGGCCTTGAGGGGAGCCCTACTGGTCAGAGCCTGGGAGTGAGTGTCCCAGGGCACAAGTGATGTCCCAGCCGGGGCACCCACACGGGGCCCTGCTGTCCCCTGACAGCACAGGGAGCACATGGGAGCAAACCTTGGGTGGAGCCAGGGTCAGCTCCATCAACCTGGGTGAATTCCCGAGCCTGTAGGACCGCAGACCGGGGTGACCCTGCCAAACGTGCCTCCCTGAAGTGACACTGGGGGGCGGGGTGACCCTTTGAAAGCGACTTGGAAATGGCAGCACAGGAAACAAGGGTGAAGCCCTGTATGTGGGGAAGCGATATGAACGTCACTGTCGCTCCCCAAGGAGAAGCTGTTGCAACTCACGGACAACCACGAAGGCAATGACCTTGGCCAACAAGTACAGCGGGTCTCATTCTATCCCGGAGGCCCCTGCATTAGGGCAGGCAGAACCTCAACAGCCCTCTGCCAGCAGGTTGATAGCCACTCTTCACACCCCCACAGGTCAAGCCGGAAGTCCCGGTGGGTTTCCGGGACGGCCACTCTCTGTGCGAGCATAAAGCCTCGTCTTTCTCCCCTGGAGGAGCTGGGGGTTTTGAACTGCAGCCCAGTGCGTAGTAACCACTATGCCACCAGCGCTCTCTGCTCCAGGGGAAATACGGCGTGGCGTCCCCTGCAAGCCTCTGGTCACAGCATTTCCATGAGTCCTTTCGTACAGAGCTGTCTTCCCTGCCTGCTTCTGTTTACAGCTGCCTTATGCAACAGGGTATCAGAGACTCTTCAACCCTGAACCCACAGCCAACAGCACCAGCACTCGTGTCTGAACGAAGCTGATGCTTGCAGCCTATTTCCCCTGCTAGACACAGCACCACCTTCTACACTGAGGGACCCTAGACGGCACTTCAGCACCGTGCTCACAGACCCATCTCAGACGGCAAGATCACCAACAGGATGCAGAAACCACAGCCCACGACACAGCGTGGACAGCCCCTGAGGGCAGCAAGGAAGCCAACGCAAAGGGCAGCACATCTCCTGGTTCCACCTCAGCTGGGGTCATGCGCATCGAGCGGTGGAACGTCGGTGTGTTTGTGTGTTTTTTGGGGGGTACTCTGCATGCCCATGGAGAGGGTGAAAGCGTCGTGGTTATTCACATGGAGGCGGGCACAAATAGATTGTAGCCATCAGGAGAAATTTCAGACAGCGAGTCTGTGGTAGTGAGGATTGACTGCACTTTGCTTCTCCGCGAGCCTCTCCAGAAGTCTCTCCTACCTACAGATGGAGCCCGGGGGTGTCGGGATTAGCGTTGGGCTGCTAACCACAGCGCCGTCAGTTTGAAATCATCCGCAGCTCCTCCGAAGAAAGGCGGGGCTTGCTACACCCGTAAAGAGTTACAATGTCAGGAACTCGCAGAGGCATGTCTACCCTGTCCTACCGGGTCGCTGTGAGCCCCCATCAACTTGATGGCAGTGAATTTGGTTTGGGGGTTGACTGCAGACACTGACCCCGCACCCGAGCCTGGTGGCCATAGGAGCCTTGTTGGCCACAGGCTGTCTGAACGGCATTCCCATGGACACAAGGAAGAGAACGTCCCAGCAGGGCCGGCTCTCCCTATCAGTCTCTGTCTCTGTCAGGCGTGATCTCTCTGGAAGTGGGTTTGCTGTCCCGCCAAGTGCAACAGGCAGGGAGCCCCAGCACAGACTGGCTCATTGGAAGGATGGGGGCGGGAGGGGATTTGCCAATGACCCACACCTACCAAGCAAGCCGTGCCCAGACTCCACCGCAGGAGGATGGTTTGTATTTTCCTACCTAGAACCTAAGTTCCCTGGTAAGAGGGACCCTCCTGGGGTCTGAGGACAACCACTGCACTCATCCCAGGCCAGGGGCCACTCCTGTCTGCGGTCAACCCACCTCCCAGCACCGGCCTCCTCAGAGCCGTGTGCGGCTAAGCAGGTCACCTTACCTGAGCCCAGATGATTTCTGCCAGCTCCCGGCGGTTCTGGATGGTGGCCCAAATGAGCAGGTCACGGACGGGGTCTATGAAGTTGTCATCCTCTAGGACGGGGTCTATGAAGTTGTCATCCTCTAACGATGGCTTGCAGAGGGGCTGGGAACTCCTTCCCCGCACCTGGTGAACAGCTGACGTCAGAATCTCACCTGGGCCACTCATGGCAGAGTCCCCAGGCTTTGCTGGGAGGCAGATCTCCCGTGCAGCCCCATACCTGCTCGTGTGGTCTAGCCCTAAGACCACACCGTTAGTAGCACCCCAGATAATTCCATGCACCTGTTATTAAAAATTTCCTCTGAATCCGTGTGACTTAGGGTGAGCCCATATGTGTCAGAGCCGAAATCAGGGCCATTGGGATTTCAGTGGATAGTGTTTCTGACGTAGATGCCAGACCTCCCTTTCAAGCAGCCAAGTACATATGTTCACCGTTTGTGTCGGCCTGAGAAGCCAGGTCCTGCCTGGTCAGGGAGTGGAGGTGAGCTCAGACATCTGGCAATGATGTCCTTAGGTAGTGGATGTGTTTCCCATGGCACCCACACTCACATTGCCTAAGAAATTTTACTAAATTCTTGCAGGTTTATCTTTAAAAAAAAAGTCACTGACCTTCGCAAGTGACATAGATAAGGCTAAGTGTGAGCGAGCTCCTGGTTCTGAGCTTCGGCCTATTCTGACTGGGTGTCAGGAAAGCAGGGTGACATCAGGTGATGCAGGACTACAAGTGCATGCACCTGACGTACAAATGCATGCCTCCTTTCGGGGCTAGGGCCCAAGGCAGCCAATGGATAGCTCACCGTGGGACACATCTGAAACTGAAAGCAGCGATTATCCAGCAGGAAAACAGAACAAAAATCTTATCTTAGAAGGCATCGAAAATCTTTACAGAGAAATCATCAGGAAATCAGTGGAGAACATTATTTGAGCTACTTACCCAAAAAAGCACCAGGCCCTGGGGGATTCATAGGGGAATCTAGTGCACTTATAAGAAATAAATTCCGGGCACCTAAATCATGATGGAGTCTCTGGGTAACACAGACAGTTGAGTGTTCAGAGACTAACTGGGAAATCAGTGATTCAAACGTGTCCAAAGGCAGCTCAGGAGAAAAAGCTGGCCGTTTGCTTCTGAGAGATCACCGCCACCAAGAGCTTGGCAACCCCCGGCTCTGCATGTAAACCCATTGGGTCCCCATGCGCCAGAATCAGCTAGAGCTCAAGTGATTTTTAAGGAGCCCAGGCGGCACAACAGGTAAGCACTTGGCTGCTAACAGAAAGGTTGGTAGTTTGAGCCGATGTGGCAACCCCACAGCAGAAGAAACTGATGGTCTATTTCCGTAAAGATTATACTTATGAAAACCCTATGGGGGAAGCTCTCCTCTGTCACACAGGGTCGCTGTGAGTCAAAAATAGGCTTGGCGACACACAACAACATTCTACAGCCAAGAAAGAATGTCTTCCCAGTGGGTTTCAGGACACTAACCCCTCACCAACATCGCTCCCCAAAGAAAATTACAACCACGGGCAACCATGCCAACGCTAAAACTCTGAAAATATGGTCCTCAGAATCTGAGCTCATGTGAGCAAGTGTTACACAACAATCAGATTGAGATTCTTAACAGGAATGGAAACATGTTTCACTCTCAGGTTATCTATTTAAAAAGAATTCACCAAATCCTTAGATCACAGAAAGAAACCATCTATGTTCTCAAAGCCATCTGGCAGAGCCCAGCCCCAACAGTGCATTTTATAAAGCCTAATGATTTAAAATTCCCAGAACACAGAAATCTACAGAGACTGCAAGTACATTAGTAGTTGCTTGGGGCTTAGGGCAAATATAGGGGAGAGTTAGAGGGTACAGATTTTTTTCTTCTTTTTATGGTGGGCGTTGGGCTTTCGTATATCTATATACACACACACATACATATGTATATAATGTTTCTATATGTTATATTATATATAAATTGTACACCAAATAATGGTTAAATATTTATATATAACATATATATCTAAAGAGAATTGCTAGACCCTTTGGTGGTCCTATGATATATTATGTTTAACCATTATTCAGTGTACAATTTAGTAACATTAATCACACCCGTGGTGTTGTGCTAACATCATCACTATCCACTTCCAATTCCCTACACAGAAACTCTGTCCTGTTAAAGTAAGTCCCTGTTCTTCGCTCCACCCCTCCCCGCAGATACGAGTGTCCCCTAGTAAACGTTGGTCTCTATGACTAGCTGAGATCATGCATAGGCGTGAGCTCACACAGGGTTTGTCCTTTTGCACCTGCTTGACTTCACTCAGCCTAAGGTTTCCAAAGTTCATGCATGTTGCCGCATCAGAACCCATTCTCTTCCCAGTGGGACGCACAGATGGCCACACTGGCCCTCATCTGTTGATGGAGACCCGGGTTGTTTGGACTACTCTGAACAAAGTAGTGAAAACCATGCCTCTGTTTGAGTCCCTGCTTTCAAGGGGGTCTATACTAAGGAGCAGAATTGCTGGACCCTTTGGTGGCCCTGCTGAGGGACCACCCACCTGCCACGGCAGTCTCACCATTGATACACCCCCCAGGGCTTCTGTTGAGGTGATGAAACTGTTCTAGGACTGACGGCTCCTGGGAATAGAGTACTACAACTACTGAAGCCATGGATCGCAGGCTTTCAGTGGGTAAACGGTATGCTGTGTCCAGTATAGCTGCAAAAGAGTACCCATGGAATGAGGTGGGAACCCTAGTGAAATAGAAAAAGATGGATACTTCTTGAATGTAAATACATGTACCAAGACTAGCATCACATGTTAACAGAGAAGCAGACACCAGCAGGGTCCCATTAAATAAGGACACAGAACTGAAAGTCCACTCTCCCCCTACTGCTTAATCTAGGCGTTGTGGGGTGACCCCGAACATACTCGCAAAAGCCACCGCCATTGAGTGGATTCCAACTCACAGTGCCCCCTCTAGGCCAGAGTGGAACTGCCCCTGTAGGTTTTCCAGCGTGTCACCCTTTATGGGAGTAGAAAGGCTGGTCTATCCCCTGCAGAGCGGCTGGTGGCTGCGAAATGCTGACCCTGACCTTCTTCCACACAGGGAATAACAGCCAGTGAGCAGGAGTGGGGGCGTAAGGTACAAAATGCATGATTTTCACAGCAAAGCTTTTGGTGCTTTCCACTTGTTTTAGTATAGGGAGTGTATATATATATATATATATATATAATAAAAAAAACGCTTGGTGGAACCAAGGGCATTTTTAAGGCGGTGATACTGGTCTGTGTGACTGGAGAGGTGGACACAACACCGTGCGTGTGCCCAATGTAAGACGGATAAGTGAAAGAGTGGGCCCTCGTGTGAACTGCAGGCTTCAGTTCAGATGACGTCTCAATCCTGGCTCCTTATTTGGAACAGACATACCATGAAATGCACGCTATTAGAACAGGGACAACTGTGCAGGGGGTGGGGGCCAGGATATGGGAGTTCTCGGTACTTCCTGCCTGGTTTTTCACTGAACCTCAACTGACTCAGAAGGCAGCGGTGGTTCCGTGGTAGAACGCTTGCCTTCTACCTGGGAGACCTGGGTTCGCTTCCAGCCAGTGTGGCGCAGGGACAGCCATCACCTGACTGTAGTGGAAGCTCCTGTTGCGATGTGCTACACGGGTTCCCGCAGAGCTTTCAGACAGAGGAAGACGAGGGCAAGAGCTCCCAAAACCCAGTCCTTGAACCCCCCCTGTGGATCACAGCGGTCCAACTTGCAACCAATCCATTGCCAGGAGGGGCTGGGACCAGCCAGCCCTTCCTCCACCTTT